AAGAAATCAATATTCTGTCAGCAGAGATGAAAAAAATAGATTTAACATATAACTTCACTTCCATAACGTTAGACTTCAAATGTAATTCCTTATTTTTTATTCATTTCCTGAAACATGCAAATAACCTATCTTACTTGCATATAAAGGAACCTTGGCTTACAATGTCTACATTCAGGTTAGTTATCAACGAGTTACACAAAATTCATGTAAAGTTAAAATTAAACAAACTTGATATAAGTAAGAATAACTTAGTTTCAATCTGTAAAAAAACATTTGCTTACCTTGTAGAGATATCTCCATACCTGACTCATATTGACATGAGCAATTGTAATCTATCAGGTAGTATTGTTAATGAATTAATGGATGAATGTGGTAGGATGAATGTAGGATTGAAAGATAACATGCTTAGATTAGAAGGCAATGACCTTTCAGATATTGATGGTAAGCCACTTGCTAAGTTAGTCAGGATACTTAATGAACCTTATACCACCTTCAGATGGGAAGATTATTCTCTTACAGGTAATAATCTAGAAAAGCTGGTTGAATCAGTAGGTGACAAGACATTGAATTGGATAATCATAGACATGAGTAGGGTTAACCTATCTTCAATTAGTGGAAAAACATTAGCTTGCCTTTTCAAGATCTCTACACAACTAATCTATATTCTGATGAGACATTGTAGTTTATCAGGTAGTATTATTAATGAAATGATGGTGGAATGTCATAAGATGGATGTAGTATTGAAAAACAACATGCTTCGATTGGAGGGCAATAACTTTTCAGATATTGATGGTAAATCACTTGCTGAGTTACTAAGTCTAATTAATGTGCCTGGTGATACATTTACATGGAGTGATTACTCATTCACAGCTGATAATCTAGAAAAGCTTGCTGAATCAATCGATGAGAATCAGACATTGAATTGGAAAAGGATAGACATAAGTAGGATTAACCTATCTTTAATCAGTGGAAGAACATTAGCTTGCCTGTTTACAATCTTTACAGACCTGATCCATTTTGACATGAGCCATTGTAATTTATCCGGTGGTATTTTTAAGGAAATGATGGTGGAATGTCATAAGATAGATGTAGTATTGAAAGACAGCATGCTTAGTTTGGAGGGCAATGACCTTTCAGGTATTGATGGTGAATCACTTGCTGAGTTACTTCGTTTAATTAATGTGCCTGGTGTTACATTTACATGGAGTGATTACTCACTTACAGCTGATAATCTAGAAAAGCTTGTTGAATCTATAGGTGAGAATGAGACATTGAATTGGAAAAGGATAGACATGAGAAAGATTAACCTATCTTCAATCAGGGGAAGAACATTAGCTATCCTTTTTAGGATCTCTACACACCTGGTCCATATTGACATGAGTCATTGTAGATTATCAGGTAGTAGTATTAAGGAAATGATGGAGGCATGTCGTATGATGAGTATAGTATTGAAAGACATGCTTATTTTGGAGGGTAATGACCTTTCAGATATTGATGGTAAATCACTTGTTGAGTTAATTAAGACTTGTCAGCCAGAATGTGTGTTTACATGGAGTGATTACTCACTCACTGCTGATAATTTAGAAAAGCTGGTTGAATCAGTGGGTGAGAATGAGACGTTGAATTGGAAATGGGTTGACATGAGTAGGATTAACCTATCTTCAATCAATGGAAGAACATTAGCTTGTCTTGTTACAATTTCTACACACCTGATTTATATTGACATGAGACATTGCAGTTTATCAGGTAGTATTGTTAATGAAATGTTAATTGAATGTCATAGGATGAATGTAGAATTGAAAAAAAACATGCTTAGGTTGGAGGGTAATGATCTTTCAGATATTGATGGAAAATCACTTGCTAAGTTATGTAGTGTAATTAATCTGCCCCATGATACATCATGGAGTGATTACTCATTTACACCTGATAGTCTAGAAAAGCTTGTTAAATCAATTGGTGAGAATGAGACATTGAATTGGAAAAAGTTAGACTTGAGAAGGATTAACCTATCTACAATCAGTGGAAAAACATTAGCTTACCTTTTTAAAATCTCTACACACCTGGTCAGTATTGACATGAGACATTGTAATTTATCAGGTAGTATCATTAATGAAATGATAATTGAATGTTGTAGGATGAATGCAGTATTGAAAAACAACATGCTTAGATTAGATGGCAATAACCTTTCAGGTATTGATGGTAACACACTTGCTGAGTTAATTAGTGTAATTCATGTGGCTGGTGATACATTTACATGGAGTGATTACTTACTTACAGCTGATAATCTAGAAAAGCTGGTTGATTCAATAGGTGACAGGACATTGAATTGGAAAATCATAGACATGAGTAGGATTAACCTATCTTCAATCAGTGGAAAAACATTAGCAATATTTTTAAAGATCTCTCCACATCTGATTGATATTGACATGAGCCATTGTAGTTTATCAGTTAGTGTTATTGAGGAAATGATGGTTGAATGTAGTAGGATGAATGTAGTACTGAAAAACAACATACTCAGATTGAAGGGCAATAACCTTATAGATATTGATTGTAAATCACTTGCTGAGTTGCTTAGTATAATTAATCAACTTGGTGATACATTTTTATGGAGTGATTACTCATTTAAAGCTGGTAACGCAGAAAATCAGGTTGAATCAAAAGGTGAGAATGAGACATTGAATTGGGAGTGGATAAATGTGAGTGGGATTAACCTATCTTTGATCAGTGGGAGAAAATTAGCTCGCCTTTTTAAGGTCTTTACTCACTTGATCTGTATTGACATGAGACATTGTAATTTATCAGGTAATATTGTTAATGAAATGATGGAGGAATGTTGTAGGATGAACATCATTTTGGAAGACGACATGCTTAGACTGGAGGGCAATGACCTTTCCGATATCAATGGTAAATCACTTGCTGACATAATTTGTGTAATTAATCTGCCTGGTGATACATTTACATGGAGTGATTACTCATTTACAGCTTATAATGTAGAAAAGCTGGTTGAATCAATAGGAGAGAGTGAGACATTAGATTGGGAAAAGATAAACATGAGTAGGATTAACCTATCTTCAATCAGTGGAAAAACATTAGCTTGCCTTTTTAAGATCTCTACAAAACTGGTCCATATTGACCTGAGACATTGTAGTTTATCAGGTAGTATTCTAACAGAAATGATGGAGGAATGCCATAGGATGAATGTATTATTGGAAGACAACATGCTTAGATTGGAGGGCAATGACCTTTCAGATATTGGTGGTGAATCACTGGGTGAGTTACTTAGTGGAATTAATCTCCCTGATGATACTTTTATATGGAGTAATTACTCATTTACAGCTAATAATGTAGAAGTGTTGGTTGAGTCAATAGGAGAGAGTGAAACATTAGATTGGGAAAAGATAGACATGAGTAGGATTAACCTATCTTCAATCAGTGGAAAAACATTAGCTTGCCTTTTTAAGATCTCTACAGAACTGGTCCATATTGACCTGAGACATTGTAGTTTATCAGGTAGTATTCTAACTGAAATGATGGAGGAATGCCATAGGATGAATGTATTATTGGAAGACAACATGCTTAGATTGGAGGGCAATGACCTTTCAGATATTGGTGGTGAATCACTGGGTGAGTTACTTAGTGTAATTTATCTCTCTGATGATACTTTAATATGGAGTGATTACTCATTTACAGCTAATAATGTAGAAGAGTTGGTTGAATCAATAGGAGAGAGTGAGACATCAGATTGGGAAAAGATAGACATGAGTAGGATTAACCTATCTTCAATCAGTGGAAAAACATTAGCTTGCCTATTTAAGATCTCTACAGAACTGGTCCATATTGACCTGAGACATTGTAGTTTATCAGGTAGTATTGTTAATGACATGATGGAGGAATGTTGTAGGATGGATGTATTATTGGAATACAACATGCTTAGATTGGAAGGCAATGACCTTTCAGATATTGATGGTGAATCACTTGCTGAGTTACTTAATGTAATTAGTCTGTCTAGTGATACATTTACATGGAGTGATTACTTACTCACAGCTGATAATCTAGAAAAGCTGGTTGAATCAATAGGTGAGAATGAGACATTGAATTGGGAATGGATAGACATGAGTAAGGTTAACCTATCTTCAATCAGAGGAAGAACATTAGCTTGCTTTTCGAAGATCTCCACATACATGGCCCCTATTGACCTGAGACATTGTAGTTTATCAGGATGTATTATTAAAGAAATGATGGAGGAATGTTGTAGGATGGATGTATTATTGGAAAACAACATACTTAGATTGGAGGGCAATAACCTTTCAGATATTGATGGTGAATCACTTGCTGAGTTAATCAGTGTAATTAATGTGCCTGGTGATACATTTACATGGAGTGATTATGCACTTACAGCTGATAATCTAGAAAAGCTGTTTGAATCAGTAGGAGAGAATAAGATATTAATGTGGAGAAAGATAGACATGAGTTTTGTTAACTTATCTTTAATCAGTGGAAGAACATTAGCTTGCCTTTTAAAGATTTCTACACAGCTGATCGTTATTGATATGAGGCATTGTAATTTATCAGGTAGTATTGTTAATGAAATGATGGAAGAATGCTGTAGGATGGATGTATCATTGGAAGAAAACATGCTTAAATTGCAAGGCAATGACCTTTCAGATATTAATGGTGAATCACTTGCTAACATAATTTGTGTAATTAATCTCCCTGATGATACTTTTATATGGAGTGATTACTCGTTTACAGCTAATAATGTAGAAAAGCTGGTTGAATCAATAGGAGAGAGTGAGACATCAGATTGGGAAAAGATAGACATGAGTAGGATTAACCTATCTTCAATCAGTGGAAAAACATTAGCTTGCCTATTTAAGATCTCTACAGAACTGGTCCATATTGACCTGAGACATTGTAGTTTATCAGGTAGTATTCTAACTGAAATGATGGAGGAATGCCATAGGATGAATGTATTATTGGAAGACAACATGCTTAGATTGGAGGGTAATGACCTTTCAGATATTGGTGGTGAATCACTGGGTGAGTTACTTAGTGTAATTTATCTCCCTAATGATACTTTTATATGGAGTGATTACTCATTTACAGCTGATTATCTAGAAAAGCTGGTTGAATCAATAGGTGAGAATGTGATATTGAATTGGAAATGGATAGACATGAGTTGGATTAGCCTATCTTTAATAAGTGGAAGAACATTAGCTTGCCTTTTAAAGATATCTACAAACCTAGACCATATTGACATGAGTTATTGTAGCTTATCAGGTAGTATCATTAGTGAAATGATGGAGGAGTGTTGTAGGATGAACATAATTTTGGGAGCTGAAGTGCTTAGATTGGAGGGCAATGACCTTTCTGATATTAATGGTAAATCACTTGCTGACATAATTAGTGTAATTAGTCTGCCTGGTGATACATTTACATGGAGTGATTACTCATTTACAGCTTATAATGTAGAAAAGCTGGTTGAGTCAATAGGAGAGAGTGAGACATTGGATTGGGAAAAGATAGACATGAGTAGGATTAACCTATCTTCAATCAGTGGAAAAACATTAGCTTGCCTATTTAAGATCTCTACAGAACTGGTCCATATTGACCTGAGACATTGTAATTTATCAGGTAGTATTCTAACTGAAATGATGGAGGAATGCCATAGGATGAATGTAGTATTGAAAGACAACATGCTTAGATTGTAGGGCAATGACCTTTTAGATATTGATGGTAAATCACTTGCTAAGTTACTTAGGGCCCGTTCGAGCAAAAAACGCCAACCGTATTCCGTTTATTTCACCGGGTAATCGCGCTGAGCACTCAGTGGGTGGTCAACCGTTCGAGCAAGTTTTAGCTCATGGTCAACAACCCATTCTTTGTTTACTTGCTACTGCTGCTATAACCAAGGAGGTATAACTCCTTGCTAAAACTATAACGGTGAAACGATAATGTAGCTCAATAACTTATAATGGCTGCTTTAAAACCTTACGTAGGCTAGTTTATTGAAGTTTATTTCTTCGAATAATGGTAAATCTACAAATCGATCGCATAGCTATGCTACTAAATTTAGATTTTGTTGTGCATGTGTGAAAAGGCGAAGGAGAGCTGCAACCACGCCTGGGCCGTAACCTATTGAATTTCAAGCTGGGCTGTGAACAAAACATTTGGAAAAACAATTAGGTTGATTTATCATCGCCTCCAGCTCCATGGTCATTCCATACACGGTATTCTACCCAGCAATTTGATGGTCAAAATTGTCGCGGATAATACAGATGGTAAGGTAATTAGACTAGTGTCCGATCGGTTTTAGAAAGTGTGTACCGGTGAATTAACTGGTAAATCGCACAGATATTTATTTGCTTGAACAGGACCTAAGTCACAGTGTCAGGCAGTTCATGTATACAGGAATGTCCTTTGTGACACATTTACATGGAGTGATTACTCACTCACAGCTGATAATCTGAAAAAGCTGGTAGAATCTATAGGTGAGGATGCAGACCTGCCAGCCCTTGGGTCATGAAAATCTGGAGATGTATTTAAGAATCTTAAAAAAATCTGGAGATTTACCAAAAAATCTTGAGGTTTCCAGATAATGCAAGATACCAAAAAAGTCACGTCACTACAAATTATTGGCCGTTGGTGGCAAATCGAATTGAAAATGGCTGCTTGTTTATGCACCGCGAAGTGAGTAGGCGGCGAATACATTGAATAATAACGATAAAATCAATCAAATTATGCATAAATCGGAGTATTTTTGGGGAGGGGGTGGCCTGTGAAATCGGGTGAAAATTACATTCGATCGGGAGAACTGGAGATTTGTTTAAATATCAGGTGACACCCAACAGGATCGGGTGAGTTGGCAGGTCTGCCCATTCTTACTGGTCCATATTGACCTGAGACATTGTAGTTTTATCAGGTTGTATTGTTATTGAAATGATGGATGAATGTCGTAGAATGTATGAATTATTGGAAGAGAACATGCTTAGATTGGAGGGCATTGACCTTTCCGATATTAATGGTAAATCACTTGCTGACATAATTCATGTAATTAATCTGCCTGGTGATACGTTTACATGGAGTGATTACTCATTTACAGCTAATAATGTAGAAAAGCTGGTTGAGTCAATAGGAGAGAGTGAGACATTAGATTGGGAAAAGATAGACATGAGTAGGATTAACCTATCTACAATCAGTGGGTAAACATTAGCTTGCCTTTTTAAGATCTCTACATAACTGGTCCATATTGACCTGAGACATTGTAATTTATCAGGTAGTATTCTAACTGAAATGATGGAGGAATGCCATCAGTGGTGTAGCTAGGGGGGTCAAAGGGGGGCACGTGCCCTGGGTGCCACGTTTGAGGGGGAGCTGAAGTTGAAGAATGAGAGTAAACAAATAAGCACTTTTTAGAAAAACACGATGAAATTGATGTATTTCATCAGGCATGAATATTTTAATAAGAATCCGAATGTAGTTGTTTTTATTGGCAAATTCATTGATTGTGATTTCTTTTCAGTTCATTTCAACCATTTTCTCTTGTATTTTATCCTATTCTGTAATGACTACATGACTAAAGCTCATCCTGCCATATCTCAGAGCCACAATGGGAAAAGCGTGACTATCTGCTTTGGCACTACATAGTATTGAGAGTGATGAAGCAGACAACATTGCTAACATTGATCATGTTATTAACTTATTTGTTGATATAAATGCACACAGAATTCAGTTGCAAGTTTAAACAATGTTAAAAATTCAGCAACTTACAAGACTCTATTATAAGATAAATTTAGAGAATAAGAATACTGAGATGTATGCGATAAATAAACTTACAAATTAGGATAATGGTAAAGTTGTATACAAAGTTCCGAACATTGTAATGCAGTTTCAATAGTAAGAAGCAGGGATGGCGCCAGGGCCCCCTTCGCGGATAGCTGCGCCCCCAACCCCCCCTCCCTCCTCCCCTTCGTCGGGGAGAAAGCATAATTCGTTGGGCATATGAGAGCTAGAATAATAATAGTTATTCAGGTTTAAATAATGTTATTTAGACAGTGCGTTATATGGACGTCCCGATGGACGTACAGTACGCATATGCTTAAAGTCTATTCAACCAATATCAATTAATTTCACCTTTAATATTTATATTTATTTCGTTATTTAAAATTTTTGCCAACTTTTGATGTGTTCCAATTATCATGCACTCTGTTTTATCGACATTTAAGCCTAGTTCGTTGCAGTACAGCCAATTTGCAATTTTGTCAAGGTCAATATTAATATTTTCAGTAATTTCATTTATATCATTTGATGTGAGAAACTGGGCAGTGTCATCAGCATACATGCTGATTTTTACATATTTAACTATTTCAGGAAGATCATTGATGTATAATAAAAACTTTGAAGGACTTGGGATTGACCCTTGTGGTACACCACATACACTACTTTGTTTAATGATTATTGATTTTCATATATTAAGTTTTCTGAATCTAAATACGAGTATAATTGATCAAAAACACTTCTTTCTAGTAATTTAGATATCACACGCAAAATTGACGGGTCTATAGTTACATGGATCAGTGGGATCCCCACCACAGGGCATATTTTTGCAATCTACCATATATCAGGGAAGGTGCACGTAGAAAGAGACATGTTTATTAAGTATGTGATGGGTGGAACAATTGAATCAATTGCCAGTTTGAGTAGGTTATTAGGAATATCATCAATACCACTTGCTTTTTTAACAGGCATTGATTTGTTTGCGGACATAATTTTCATCAACAGGGGTAAAATTGAAAACAGATGTGTATTTATTTGCTGACGATATTAGCTTATATGGTGTTCCTGTTGGAATATTTTTAGCTAAGTTTGGTCCGACTGTAGAGAAGTATTGATTGAGAGTCTCAACAATCTTATCAGGGTCTGAATTTAGACCATCTGCTGTTTTTAGGTTTGAAATTTCAGATGTTTGGGCTTTTTTGGGGACAAGATACCATAAATTTTCCCATATTTTTCTTGAATCTTTGGTGTTTAATTCATTACTAAAATATTTTACCTTACATTTTACATCAGTGAGTTTACTTCAAGCCTTAATTTAATTAGACAGTGAGCCAGGGTGAGTTTCTATGACGAACTCTTTCTTTTCATTGGAGTATGGAAATTTGCAACATCAAGAAATTTTTCCTCAAAATCATTTAAAGCATAATTTATATTTTCATGGCTATTTATTTCATGCCATTTAACATTTGAAAAAAAAATCCACTTTAAAATAGTTTTCATTAAAATGTTTATAATGTATGTTAGTTTTAAATTTATGGTTTCTTTTTATTGTTTTTTTCTATTTTCCAATTAGGGCATAAATTAATGAATGATCGCTGTCCAGTATGTAGAATACCAGACTCTCTTATATTTTCTGGACATGATGAATAAACATGATCAATTAAAGTTTTGCTAGTTTCAGTTACTCTTGTTGCCTCAGAAATTATTTGAGGTAAATTGAATTTAGTGGTAATTTCTATTAATTTATTAGTATAACAAGTGGGGTTTGGTGACAGTTAGTCACAGTTTAAATCTCCCATTATCAATACTTCTCTATCAATATGCTCAATGTTCTCAAGTATACCTTTAAAAACTCGTAAGTACTGTAGTTCTATCTCACTATTTGGTGGCCGATACCATGCTAAAAGTACAGTAAGATTGGTTTTGACTTTAAAGGAGTTATTTCAAGTGTGATTAGTTCTAATTTTGAGCACATGAGATCTTTTCTCAATTTGTGAGTAAGTTTACTATTTCGATTAATATAGATTGCAACACCTCCCCCTTCTGTTTTTATCATGTCTATAAACATCATATTTCCCAATGGTAAATCACTTGCTGAGTTACTTAATGCAGTTTATCAGATTTATGATGTGTTCATATGGAGTGAAAAAAGCTTGAATCTGTCAAGTTCACAAAGGTGGTAAAAAAAAAATGAATGTACAAATTAAAATGTTATTAATGTCAATTTATTTAAAAAAATGTTTATTACTACCATGTAAAGACAATTTTTGTTCATCCTTTGTGATATTGTATTTCTGTATATTAGCTTCTGATTTTTATTTCTGTTAGTACCTTTTTGTAATTAATTTTATGTAGATGGGTGACAGAAATTTTGGAACCTGGATGTTTCATGGCGCTATACTGCAGGTGCTTCGCAATCTGGACATTTTGTAACCAAGGCATTTCAAATCTCAAAGTGTCCAGGTTGCGAGGTACCAGTAGTGGAGTTGCTGGGGGTCTGGGTTACAGAATGTCGACATTTCCATATTGAATAATTGTATCAATTGTATTTCTGGTTGTTCACTTAACAAAATGGTATGTTAATTTCAATTTGTTTAATTTTTTGCTTCTCCTACACGGACTTGTAGAAGAACAACTCTAGTTGAAACAAGTTTTTCTGTGTTAAAATAAAGATTATTATTATTATAGTGATTTCTCACTCACATCTGATAATCTAGAAATGCTGGTTGAATCAATAGGTGAGTATGAGACATTGAATTGGGAATGGATCAACCTATCTTTAATCAGTGGAAGAACATTAGCTTGTGTTTTTAAGGGTATGTTCACACACACGACGTAAGGCTGGTGTACTCCGTGACGTTATTAACGCTACCTGCAGTTAATGCCACGGATACTTGAATGATTTGACCTCATTTCAGGAGATTGACCAATCACGATTGCAATAGACTAGTTACTTTGATCTCTTTCCTGTGCTCTCTATAAATGAAATGGTAAGGGGTTCTTTTTCTATTGCATTTTACTCAGTTTACAATGTATATGATTTGTTGATTGTGTTTTGTAAGATATTTTAACCTGTTAAGACTGTCTATTAAAACCTGCAACACCAGCAATTGTTCCACAATGCTAGCTGAAAATCAGAGTAAATTTATATATTTAAAATACAATAATCATATAAGTTCACTTCGAACAATACACAGATTTAAAAGTGTTAATGATGCACTGTAAATATTTTACTCCAGTTAAGAACCCGTACATTATTTAAAACTGAAAACTATTCCTCCATAGGCGTATATTACTACTAGTTTAACACGGGCGTTAATATAGTGAACACCGTTTGTGTGCACACTTCGGAATTTTAATCCGTGGATTAGATTACGCCAGCGTAAGCAACACCAGTCTTACGCCATATGTGTGAACATACCCTAAGATCTCTAAAAAACACACTGTACTGTAGATTACCAGGTACACTGTAGATTATCAGGTAGTATTGTTAATAAAATGATGTGGTAGGACGAATGTACTGTAGTACTGAAAGACAACATGCTTAGATTGGAGGGCAATGACCTTTCAAATATTGATAGTAAATCACTTGCTGAGTTACTAAGCATAATTTATATGCCTGGTAATACATTTACATGTAGAGATTATTCACTCACAGCTGATAATCTAGAAACTGGTTGAATCAATGGGTGTGGATGTGACATTGAATTAGGAAATGATAGACTTTAGAGGGATTAACCTCTCTTTAATCAGTGGAAGAAAATTAGCTTGCCTTTTCAAAATCTCTACACACCTAATATTGACATGAGACATTGTAGTTCATCAGGTAGTATTGTTTATGAAATGATAATTGAATGTGGTAGGATGAATGTAGTATTAAAAAACAACATGCTTAGATTGGAGGGCAATAACACAGATATTGATTTATATTTTATTTATTTTATTACAACATTTTAGGATAAAGAAAAATACAAGCAAAAGCCCTCCAAGTATTAGGCCATCCTGAAAAAAGTTTTTTTCCGTCTAACGGTGGCCAAAAAAACTATCCAGTAGGGAGGGAGGAATAAATAAACAAAATTTTTAAATTTTTAAATAACCAAGTATGGCTGTCCTTGTCTTAAAAATTTCCTATTTCGAACAAGTCAATCAACTAAAAAAAATTTGTGTCCTAGAGCCCCCTCCTCCGGGGCGTGCTCTAGAGGTCACCATACCCCCATGGGCATGCCCAGGCACATGCATGATGCCAACACCCGTTTCAGGTTTCTTTTTATATTAAATAAGCCTGAAAAATTAACTCCCTTTTTATGCTGTTATGAAGTGATTGATACTAGGCTAGTTGCATTAGAAACAGTAATGAGAAATGTTCCCCCCCCCCCCCAAAGAATTTCCCACAGATTGGAAACATTTAGGATAAACAAATTTGAGTTATAGTCAGTAAAATATATGCTTTTGTTAAATTGAACTATACTCTATTTGATCAAAGAATTTCATCTGCTCCTGTAATGTAATGTACATAGATTTATCTTTCAATTAAACCAAAATAATGGCAAAAAATGCACACCTGTTGCAAGTGCTACCTGTCGTGGATCAACCATCAGATGACTGGAGTAAGAACTAGTACGTCGTTGTCAAAAAGTCTTGCGTTTCAAGCGGAACTGTCAACATAAGAAGCATGTATTTTTTGCTATTGTTTTGGTCTAATTTAAAGAAATTTACATCTACAGTACTCTGTATGATTTAATGTTTGT